ATCATCACCATTAAAATACAATTAAAAACACATATGTAATTAAAAAGCATTAAAATCACATAAGTAATTTAAAAACATAAGAATCACACAAGTAATTAAAAACAATAAAATAGTTAAAAACACAAAAAGTTACAACAATAAATAACAAGGTGTGTTAAAAAGATAAAATTCTCTAGTTGTATGCACAGGAAAAAAGAAAAGTCTTTAACATGGATTTGAACATTGACAGAGAGGCAGCCAGTCTCACATCCTCAGGAAGACTGTTCCAGACTTTAGCTGCATAAATCTGAAACGCAGCCTCCCCCTGTCTAGTCCTGACTCTGGGCACTAACAGGAGTCCCGTCCCTGCGCTCCTCAGAGTCCGGGCTGGTTCATATGGGACTAGCATATCATGGATGTACTTTGGTGCAAGGCCATGGAGAGACTTGTACACCAGGAGAGCTGCTTTAAAGTCTATCCTCTGGGCCACGGGAAGCCAGTGCAGAGACCCGAGGACCGGACTAATGTGGTCGTACTTCCTGGTTCTAGTCAGGACTCGGGCTGCAGCATTTTGAATATACTGCAGCTGTTTTACTGCATGTTTGGAGATACCTGTGAGCAGGCCATTGCAGTAATCCAGCCTACTGGAAACAAAAGAATGGATAAGAATCTCCAAGTCTGCCCTGGACACAATATTTTTAATTTTGGCAATATTTTTCAGATGATAAAAAGCTGCTGATGTTACCGATCCAATGTGGCTATTGAAGTTTAAGTCAGAGTCCATTATTACTCCCAGATTTCTGACCTTATTTAAAGGCCCCAGGGAGAGAGACTGAAGGTGACAAATGGCGGTCTCTCTTTGTTTCTCGGGACCAAAGACAATCATTTCGGTCTTGTCCGCATTTAGCTGGAGAAAATTGCATTGCATCCACTCACTGATCCGCTGGATACAGCGAAGGAGTGAGTCCACCGGTCCATGCTCTCCTGCAGTCAGTGAGACATAGATCTGAGTGTCATCAGCGTAATTGTGGTAGGACACTTTCATACTTTGAATTAACTGACCTAATGGCAGCATGTAAATATTGAACAGGAGAGGTCCCAGAATCGACCCCTGTGGCACTCCGCAGGTCAGGGCCATATTGATAAGAATCAATCAGCACTGCAGGTCGTAGCATCACGGGAGCATCTTTGATCAAATACACGGTTTGATATAACATTTAACACACAAGGACATTTCACCAGTCATTTCAGATGAAAAAGTGATAAACGCTTCACTCATTTCATGCTCTGTAGTCATGCTTCGTAACTGTCTATTAAATCTTATCAGAGAGGGGCAGGAAGAAAGTAATGGGACATTTTAAAAGAAAAAGAAAGATATTGTATGATGTTAGATCTATAGGGGAACATAATAATAACCTAAACAAAATAGTTCTGCGAGACATCCTTGTTGCCTCTAAACTCTGCGACTACCATCTTAACAATTATTGCCATGTAATGTGAGAGCGTACGGAGGAATGCGTCTTAGAGGATTTCAACAAAACCACCAGAGACCAATGCACCATATTCAGGCTACTTCAGCGAACCAATTCGTTTTTGCAAGTCTAATTTCCGCCTTTAGGCAAAAACAGAGCACCACAAACCCCTGAGCAGAATCTCAAGGTTTAGCATTCACTCTTGATAAGGCCAAGCACACCCAGGGCTGTTACTGTGTAGTTCCAAAATAAACAGGAAAGGCTCCACGTTTGATCCCTGTGCGTCCTGCAATTCAGTCTCAACCCTTTCAAGCGCACTTAAACGTGAAAAATGCCTGTTTGCAGTGTACTTTTGTTTGGTCCTGCATCATAATATTCCAAAATAAACATGAATTCCAAGTATTTCTTTCCATCATTGAAGATTAGGCGATATGGTGAGAACACATTAGTGATCAACAAAATACCCCCAGAGAAACATGCCACAATATCGTGAGGGACTAAACTGCTATTTCTCCTCTTGTTGTGGTCATTTTCATAAATTAGGAGCCTTGATTGTGTGTGATTTTACTGTAAAGCACTTTGGTCGCCCTGAGTGTTGTAAAAGGCTCTGTAAATAAAATGGATTGATTGAATGATCTGCTTCCAATAATTATGAATAATTGAACAATGAACAAATGACAATCCTCCAAGTGTTGTCAATGCTAATTTACACTTTTGACACCAAATTCAGAATTTAGTCATGATTTTAAAAACTTTTTTTTTTCAGAAAATAAGTTACACTTTAATGTATTGACCCACAAAGTTATATCTAAATTTCTGAATTATTGTCCACTTTAGCTCTTGTAACTAAATGAGCCACCTCCAAATGATGTTGTGCATAGTGACACCTTATTTCAACTCATCAAAAAGACAATTGTTTTAGGTCCATGCTCCATCCACAAATTCCACAGCATAATAAGTCAACATCTGGGATAAACATATAACTGTCCCTTTCCTGGCAATCAGAACTGCCACCCATCGCTCAGGCACCAGTCCCTAACTGATTCTCCTGCAGGTGGTGAGATCATGGGAGGAGGGCGGCTCAGTCAACGAAGACACAAACTTGGTCTGGGCAGAGTGGGGTTAAGTGTCTTGCCCAGGGACACAACGGCGGCAGATGAGGTCTTGTGGGGGGATTGAACTCACAACAAGGCCCAAAGCCAATGATCTACCAACTGAGCAAAGATATTATTTCACATTCTAAAACAGAAATAAAGTGTCTCTTTCCCATTTACAGGCAAAACACAAAATATTTAAATATCACAAATATCAAGTGCATTGACCCATGAGGAACACGGTGTACAGCAGTAAAATTATCATATGAAAATTCGAGGTAGATTAGATCCTCTTTCTTGAGCTCACTGCAAATGGAGTTTCAAACACTAATGCACTCTAGCAATTCAGGCCCATTTATGTTGCATCAGTTTCCAAAAGGATTTAGAAGACGCAAAGACAAAATGTTAGAGTACAGCGGAGAAGGAGGATCGAGGGGTCTGTGAAGTCTAATTACTTATGTTTGAAGCGCCTGATAGTTAATTAATCTACAGTGTATTGTGTTATTGTAGAGGAGCACTTGATTGGCTGAGTTTTCAATTAGCAGGCTAACGGAGTGGGAGGGACCACTTCATGTGTTATGACACGCGTCTAAATCCGCCTCTAAACTGAGACCAAGTCAATGCATGATGACGAGAAATCGCAAACAGACTGGCTGAGGAAGAATAATGTCATTTTGATGACAAAAGTTTGCAGATTATAGATTTAGAACTGAATGTAATATAAAAACATGTGGTAGCCTGTTTTTGTTTCTTATGAGTAACAGAATAAGTTCATTACTGGAATCGGTGTGACATTTTCTAAACAAACAGTTTTGGTGTTTGATCCAGAACAAGACTCAAAACAAAGTGTATTCATCCTTAAAACAGTAACAAATATAATGTTGCATTGATGCCAATCTATCTTATATCTACATTTTTAAAACTACACTTACAGTTGCTTTCCTCATGACTAATGCCAATATAACAAACAGAAGCCATTCACTGTGTCTGTGTTAATTAAAGGCTGTCTACTTCCAGGCAATTCCCCGAGCCGCAGTAGAGGACAAATCGTCCCCTATTGTTTTGCGCCTCATCCAGGGACAGGATGAATTAACCTTTGCCCCCTCCAGCTGCAGCAGGAAGAGGTTTCCAGATAAGCAACAGGTAAAACAAGACAGAACAAGACAGAAGCGCCGGGACTGAGAGATATGGGGACAAGAAATATACTTCATTTTCCACATAGAGTTTCTGCTATTTTAAAATGTATCTTTCATATTGATATTTGATTTACATATTTTAATATCCTCACAGCACCAGCGGAACGCTCCATTGATTTGAATGTAATTTCAAAACGTTCTACCGGTCATTATTTGTTGATAACCGACCTCTCAAAACAATAATGACCACTGCCCTTTGGCAACGCACTCTCTGTTTGTAATTCAGATGTGTAGATTACTCCACAAGTAGTTCCGGCCACTTCGTCACTAGCCACGCTCAAAAAACGATTAACATTTAAATGTTAATCAGAGAATACATTATACATAAACATTCTTAACACACGTGAACGGAGGTTTTCAGAAGTATCTGTTTAGGTTTTCATGACAAAAATACTTTTTTAATGCAAGAAAAAGCAATCGCGGAAAAACCCGGAAGTACGTTCCAGGACATTTTTGGAACATTTGCAGAGGATCGGATTATGGATTTAGGTAAAGTTTATGATTGGGTCACTCACCGCTGATATTCAGAGTTATTTGTTCAGTTTCCACACAGTTCGAGAGAGTTCTAGTTTGGAAGTTGCTAACCTAACTGTTACTAGCATAGTCACAGGAAAACCTTTGGGAACTATCTTATTTTCTGTCATTAAATAAACCTTTTGGTATTCCTAAAAGTGGATTGAAGTTTATTCAGTCCACTTTTAAAACGTTTTAAAGCTGCGCGTTGGGGTCTGCTTCGCCCTGTCTGTACTTATTTTCTGATAATGACCTGCGTACTATACATTATCCTTTACATAACTGTTGCCCCGATGCTAAAGACATGTAGTTCATAGTGAATGAGTGTGAGTTTGTGAGTGTAACAATGAATAGAAATGAGGCAAAGGCTACAATCTGGAGAGGGGTGTTCATTAACAACCAAATAAACAACACTAAGGGCTTTGGAGTTCTATGCCTTCGGTCATGTAGAAACCGGCCATGTTCAGTTATCAGCAACAAACAACTGCATACATTCCATTATCATGAATCACGAGAGCTAATGGCAAAAATTGGCAAGCGAAAACAACTTAGCTAAAAGTCAAAGACAAGAGGTTCTGTAGAAGAGGAAGACGATCAATTTGTGACTGATACAAGCTGATAGGACTCAAAGGCACAAAGCGAGATACACAGATTACAGTGTGTTTGGGAGAGTTCAACCACACAGCCAGCGTGACGAGAGGCAGTACCCCGGGAACAATACAATCACTTTAATTAACATAGCTGACCTTCATGCTCCTTCTCGATTGCCCCAGTTTTCTTCATCTTTTTGGGGGTTTTCATAAAAAGGGGAAAGATGGTCCTCAAGCCCAGGATGTCCACAAACTTATGGCAGTTGTCGGCTCCTTCAGGTCCTATCATGCCGTGGTCCAAGACTTTCAGAGCACTGGTCCGAGACATTTTCTTTTCTCTGAGAATAAAGAAAAACACATTTGTCGTTGCCGTTTTTCAACCCAAATTATTATCTGCAATAACTTCTGCAAATAGCATAATCTGCAATTATAGAAGATTTAGATAGTTGAAACTTGTAAATCTAACAATTGTGAGCCGCCGGTGAATATTCATTTCAAACTAATTCAAACAGAACAACAATCTTATGGATTTATGAAACATTAGCACAGAGATGATTGTCTATAATAGCCAAAATATCAAATAAATTGACTTGACCCAGCCCTTACAACTCAGACCAATATAATTTACATTTGCTATTAAAAACCAATAGATAAATGTATCTCACGGGTACAGTTTTGAAAAAAGGATTATGCTGCACAACTGAAGGCTGGCTCATCATTAATCTTCAAATCTATCCATGTGTTGTGCCAATCTGAACTTCATCTGTTTATTGTCGTTAAATGATGTTGTGATGAGAGACACCAACTGTTCCTCCTCCACTCCCTCTCTCCCTCTCTCTGTCTGGGTTCAGGAAATGTAGCCGTCTGGGCCGTGTCACTTCCTCTGTTCCCACCAATGACAGATGACAGTGTTTATGTGGGAGGAGGGACACATATTTCAGCTGCTGAGTGTGCTTGTCTGGACGGATGTATTAAAAATGATGGACGGTTGAAAGGGCCACAAGGAGTAATGCAATGTGTGTTTTGTGAAGGCAAAGTCGACGTCTAACATACAGTCAGGTGGTCAATGTCACATGTAGCAGGAAACTAAATGTATGTGGCCTCAACAGAACAAGCTGCTCTGCTCAATCGATGGGACCCAACAAATCCACAAGTCTTTCTGAATTAATAACAGGAAAATTGTGGTTTGATATACTGGAGGATGTAGTTATTGATTATTGTCCTTTTAGAAAACGGACTGAATGGTTTACAGCTGTAGCTCCATGTATGAGCCATGTCAATGGGATGTAGTTATTTCTCTCAGGGACAGTGTTTCTCCCAGCATTGGATTTATCGTGAGTTCTCCATTTTCCATATCAATCTAAAACTCTCAAGAGGCAACATATATCCTAAAGGTTCAAGACCAAGATAGAGAGCCCCCTTACATGTTAACATTGCAGCATGGGAACAGATTCTTCAAATGCCCTTTTTCCGGGTAAAGTACAACTTCACTTGAAAACGAATCAGCTCTACTTGCTGTACAATCGTGAAAAGTAAAGACAAGACAGACAAGACGCAGTAAAAGCTTCTGGTAAAATGTAGGCCTCACCTGAGCATGAGATTCATGAGTTGCAGCCCCTCTCCTTTGAGGAAGCGGTCTCTGTTATTTGGCAACATTAGACACGAACATAGACCGTCAAACAGGTTTTCCATCATCTCCTGCTCCTCTGCAGTGGACGGGTTGTGACGCTTGAACACCTGTGCAAAACAAATACTGGATTATTCTTTTCCAAATGCTTTCATATGCTTGAGACAAAAGCACAGCAGAAAACAGACCAGATAAATCCAACTATGGCAATAGAACTAAAAATAGTTTAAACCACTCAAGGACTTACAGACAGTTGCTGCAGTAGCACATCGATGCCGTCCATCTCCCCCAGCAGCTCTCTGGTGTCTGGTTTGAGACAAGACAAGAAGCAGAGGAGGAGAGTGAGCTATGAAAATTGAATAACAGGACAACAGGGAGATTCAGAGGAGACGGCTGCCAAATTTCCAACCATTTACAGAGGAGCAGATATGGCAGAATGGGCACGAGAAAGAAAGATAATGGGAGAAATGTAGAAAAACCACAAAGTAAAAAGGGTTTAAACTGCAACAAAAGCATTGGCCATGAGGGACCTGGAAGCAGAAGATGAGGGGAGATAAGGACATGTCTCCATAATGCATAGTACCAGTCTATACACAAGCAAATGTTTAGACAAACGTTTTGCTTGTAATCCCAATCTACAAAGGCAGAAAGCGGCAAACTGAAGAAATGAATAATGAACATGAATGAGTTCAGATCTGTCGTCCACCGATTATGGTATAGCAATGAAATGTAAATATGATATAAGCTCAACATTTTTATTATGAATTAAGCATAGATATGTCAAACACAAAGGACAGTGCATGAGGAGAATGAGAACTTGACCAGGGACATGATTGTGGCATTGCTCATGCACCGAGCTAAAGAAAGGGCAAAGAAGAAAGGATATGCAAAGAAAAGGTCATAGCAGAAAAACCAAAAACATATCAAAGGCAGTGGATTTAAATATGCGCAGGGAGATGGGGAGGCAAGACAAATATGCCATCTAGGTTTTAGGATTCCCTCAGTGGGAAGGAAAACCACACATACCATCATTGTTTTGTAGCAGAATGGCCAGGATTTCACTGCAGTACAGCTTGTTAGCGTCAAATGGCATCTTGGCCTGGAGAAACAAAAGGTTTTAATTTTCTTTAAGACTTTAAATTAAATTAATAATACCCAAAACTGTTGTAACAAATGTACACATTGCTACATATACTAAATATTGGATAGGAGCAAGAATTGAGTTTAGTGCATGCTCATACTTCACCTTGATTCTTTTGAGCAGCCACTGCATGAGCCCCTGCTGAGCCGCCTCTGTGCACAGTCCTGGTCTGAACTCTGCCATATTTTCGATGATCGCTTTGAGAAAAAAAAACATATGAAGACATAGGTTCAGAGAAAGTAGAGGTTTAAAAGTTATAGAATCATAATTGTTTACATCATTGTACAGCCTAGCTAATAATGTATTAATTCATGTAATGCAATAGTATTAATTGTATATACAAATTAATTATTGTTTGTGAAAGAATACTCATACATATACTGCACCTGTATGAAAAAACGCTCATGTGAATATGTTCAGGATTCAGGAAACACATTTGTTACTTTCACCACTGACAAGCTAATTTCCTATCCATGTTATATACCTAGGAGGCTTCAGCAGCTCGTCTGAACAGACAGGGCTATCATTTATATAATCAACATTCCTTGAAAATGTTTAAAAATACAAAAAGAACCAAATGTTGAAAACAATAAAAGAGTAAAACAAAAGAGTGACATCTGGAGGGAGGCTGAGAGAAGACAGCAGGGCTGGAGACGAGTGTAGAGGGAAGGCCTTTATCGACGCTTCAGCGGGAGCAGGCCGATAGCAGCTCAGAGGAGGGAGCAACAGAACGGCACAAAAGGCTTATTCAGGCTTGGAGAGCTCCCTCGATAACGCTCTAAAACTCAAACGGCTGAATGAGAATTGCACCGCTCTTTCAGAATAGGCACACACCTAAAAAGCCCTCCTGATGCACAACTGCAATCGGGTAATAAAATCAGCTCGATGGAAACACCGAACCACAAAGAAATGGGCAAAGAACACAGCGAACACCACATTTGGTGATATTCATTCACGCCATACAGAGCGGTGGTAAAGCTACTACTGTAGTCACAGCTGCCCTGGGGCAGACTGACAGAAACAAGACAGCCACTCTGGTGGTGCTCAGAAGAGCCAATCAAAAACACACATTGACTACTATAAGGGCCAATGTGGGTGAAGTGTAGTTCGTATAATCATAATGGGTTACATATAAATAAACCCATTCTTAATAAATAACGAGTTTATTTTACTTCTATGCAATGTTTGTGTGTTTCCTCATGTTCAGGTCAACTTTTGTAAAAAGTGGCTCCTCTTACCCCACTCTCCTGACTAAAACTGTGTGTGTGGATGTCAGGAACTACTGCTTTATAGAGCAACTGATAGGAGCTTATGTTGCAAAAGATATTTACAGACCGTGAAATAAAAGCCTGGTTTTCCTCTTGTGTTAGAATCTCCCTCACTGTGAACAATTCACTGCTGGTTGTTGAGAACTGACGGGGGGCATTTATCACTGGTGACTTTGCTTTGTAGACCTGGGCAGTGGACTGGGACTCTGTTCAATAGATGCATGTTTGAAGGCTGCCTGCCAACGTCTAATCAGCACGACTCGGCTGCACTTCAATGACTTTGGAAAGCTCTGTCGGACATTGTTCTCTCATGTCTATATTCCACACAATGGTCTGTTTTGGAGGAATGTGAAGTGTGCTCAATATATTTGTCCCTACCCTTGCACAAAAGGTACATGGGTACAAAAGGTACAGGGGTACATAAGGTACATGGGTTGTCTCTGTAGATAAATTTGAACTTTGCATTTGTCCCATCCTTCTAATGCCACATGGGCCTCAGTGAGTGGTCACTACAGAGCTGAGTCTAGGGACCCATCTCAAAATGTTGATGCGTAGAATACCACCTATGATGCAGGTTTGGGTGGTGCGGGAGACCACAGTGCCCCGAGGAAACCCACTTACATGAAAAACACTATACCTCAGTAATGTCTATCCATTTTGGTATGTATTGTTAAAGCTTACCCAATGTGTTGAAGACACCATCAGCCTCCTCCTTCACAGACTCATCAAGACGCTCCATATTCTGCACCAGTAAGGCCACCACCTGACCCTCCAACTGCAGAGACAAGTGGCACAAAGTAATTACTATGAAAATCCACACATTCTATTTATTATGATTTTAACAAACATGACATACAGTACATGTACGTATTAGGCCCCAAAATATACACGTTTTTGTATCTTTATTTTAAAAGGCAACACATCATTTTGTTATGGCCAAAAATGTTTGGTCCTGCACTGGCTTCCTGTGGCTCAGAGAATAGACTCTAAAGCAAACCTGGTGAAACCTAATGATTATCACAACTTCTAATACTACATAAGAGTTTCAGAACTAATGACGGCCTTTTTTTCTTGCAGATGTTCATGTTGGCACAAGACGAGTCAAAGTATTATCAGTCAAGTGGAGATTGGGCTCTCTTAACCTATCGGAGGTGGCTAGGAGCTGGCTGTCGGGATAAAAGTCCCATTACAGATGAGAGAACAGTCGGACCGTCAGCGCAGATTTATGAGGCACAGAGAGAGCGTCCCGGATCATTTGATTCATCTTATCAAGGAGACCACCTGGCCTTCTGGCAACAGGGACTGACAGCTGGAAGCATTACAGCGCAATGCAGAGACAAATGGATTGAGACGGGCCTTTGAGCGTGGCCACTGGAAACAGCAGCTCATGAGAATACATTTTGTGTTGTGTTTGTGTATTTAAAAGGTTGTGAATAGTAGGAATGTTAAGCTTTAGGTGGTAATGTAGAAAGAAAAACACTGACTTGAAGACTAAAGTTTGTTCAAGTCAAACAATGAAGTGTTATATGCCGATGCAGGGTGAGTCGAGGAAAAAGGGATAATTCTGGAAAATTATGGACATTTATGATCCCACAACCAGTTTGGGCCAATGGATCCTGTGTGTTCATTTTATTTTTTACCGTTCCTGTGTTCCTATTGATTACCTAATCTGTTGTTAGCAAAGTCTTCCGATACGAATGCAGAGGGCTGTACAATTCGACTTAATGTACAGAGAAGAACAAATCTAAAGTCAAAATGATTAAAGACTTCACACCTGAAAACATTATAGTAACTACTGAACAATTAAAATATACTCCTCAAGTTATGTTCTTATTGAGAACAGCAGGCATTGGTTTCTCCAAATCAGTGTTTAATATAATACATCTAGCGTCTCTGTATTTTTGTGATTAATAAGGCAGTAAACAACTCCAAGGACAGGATTGCCGTTTGCCATGGGAGTGGTGTGCGTTGTGAGTCCTTCTCTTAACCAGATAAAATACACTGGAGTGTGGCCCGCTGTAAAAGTGGTCCCTAAGAGCAGCCACTTTTCATCAACCTCCAGGCACCACCCATCCCCCTGCATTTATCAGCCGCTCACAGTTTGTTTGTCACTACAGAAACACAAGTATAGCCTTGTTTTGGAAATCCTAAAAGACCTCTGTTCAAGTTAAACGTCTTTTTAACAGACACAGAAAATATTCAGGGAGAATTAAAAACTGGAAGTAAGATTTTCTCGGTCTGTGGACTTCAAATCTCATAATAAACATGATATAAATACATTTTAATATATACAAAATACTTGGACTATGTTTGATGTATTCCAACTAATACGCACAATTACTAAATCCTTTGGGGGTCTACTTGTGTGACACAGGTTAGTGACATCTGCGGCATCCAAAATGCTCATCAATTCAAAAGAAATGTTCCCCACACAAACAAAAGAGTTTGCACTGACTTTAGACAAGCACAAACTTTATGATCTGACATCAATCTTTTGTCTGGCAGTGGGAGACCGACAGAAAGTGCTTCCTCTATCAAAGGTATCTTCACATCATTGTGGTTTGACCTTTGTCTGTGTTGCTGGAAATGTCAGCAAACACAACTGGGCATTAGAAATTAGTGAATCAGGCCGGTCGCTCGGGCAGACGAGGGAGAGCAACCAGACAATGATGAAGAATATAAAGTAGGAGACTTTGAAAATGTGTATATATTTTTAAAGGTCAAACAAAAGGTTGCTGCCAGTTGATTGGTTGACGCGCCGTTAAACCTTCGCTCTGGGTAATTTGAGAGTTAAGAAGGTAGAAATGATCCTCCCCAAGTGCTACCGGATCAATGCAATGCAAATGCTGAACTCACCAGAGCATCGATGAGCACCTCGGCCCCCTCCTCACTCTCGTGGAGGGTGTCGATATCTGTCAGCTCCTGCAGCAGATCCACCACAGCTATCGCCACATGTGAAGAAGGTCAAGGAGGACACGCGGGGCCAATGGACTGTATATTAGATAGACATGGCTAACTCCCTAGCTCAACAAAGCTTGTACTGGCCCCTATTGACTTTCATTGAAAAGTAAACTCCTCTATCTCCATAACCGTTTGTGTCACACTTAAAATTTTGGGGTTAACAATCTGTGATTAAAATGATCATCAATTCAAAAATACCCCATTTGGAGAGATTTCTATTTACCATTAGGTTTTTATTTTTTAATAGCTGGTTTGACAACTACAATATTTATATAGCCAAGCTTTTCTAAAATGTACAGTATGTCTTTCTGAGTTGTTTTTACTCAAGCCCCGGCAATCCAAGATGGCGCCGTATTCAAATGAATGGTTTGTGCTCAGTGGCGGATGTGCCGGCACGGGCGCCGAATTAGCGGAACTCGCTTTGTATTTGGGAATTATCTGGTCCTCTTGGTTCTGCGCAGTGGACGAACTCCCATGATGCGTTGCGCCACATACACGTGTGTGGCTCTCATGCACGTGCACAGCCTTTACATTTTTTTTCATATCTCAATAATGACAGATGGCGATGTTTAGATTTTTCTACTTTACAAAAACACCCAACTAAAATACATTCATACCCAACCCTAATTGTATTGTAAAGACAAAGGAACATGTCAAACCATCCTCTCTATGATACAGCTGGTGATCAGGTAGATAGAGAAAGGATATCAGTGTTATCGTGGCTGAGCAGGCCAAGCAGTGAGTGGACAGAATTGAGCTCAACAAGCAGATGGTACAAGTCTGGCATAGTGGCCACGACATGCATCTCCTGGATAATGTCATTCAGATCCAACTCTGACTCCATGAACCTACGGGAGAGAAGAAATACAAACTGATTTAGAGTTGTACCCCAAAATGTCCATTAAATGTATTCTAGGCCCAGTATATGGATCTGTATAGTACAATTCCCAAATAGAAAAAAAAGGTTGAGATTTATACTATAACATAAAAAAATAAAATTATCACAGTGCATTTATCATATAGCACTCCTCCACTATATCAACATTTTTTTGAGCTTTCGAGTAATGATAATATAAGTTTTATAATATAATTTGTATAGATGGAAATGTGGTTAACAACATAAAGCAAAATTACAGATCAGAAAAACATAAAATTAAGAGATAGCTGTCGAGGGATTGAAACAGTCGAAACAAGTCTTTAAAGGAGCAATATGTAATATTTGCATGTCAAGTCATTATTAAATGACCCGAATATTTCAAAAGGCGTTATTAAATCATACTCTTTTCGAATTCATCTTTAACTGATAACAGTAGTTCAGCCGAGATATTTGATCATCAAAATTAGTTTTACGACCCGTAAAAGTTGTTATTGTTTTGATTTTGATGTCCTACCCTCCGCCGTTTCGCCAATCAGGAAGTGTCATGTAAGTCAGTGATCGAGTTGCCAGAACTCTGCGCGGCTCATTAATCTCAGTGGTAAAATAACATGTGGCGCAGAACTAAAAAAGGTCTTGTTATGACTCTCAAATAATTAATGACAAAACAAAGACTAAAACGAGGATTTATATCGGGATGCCTTTGAACAATTGAGACAGCTGATAAAAGTTTACGTGTGATGCAGAATTTTCTAGTTTGATTGCGTTCTTCACGATGTCTCCGTTCGTGTGAACCGGTGGCCTAGCGGTCTAAGCTGCGCGCTTACGATGCAGGAACCCGGGTTCGATCCCGGGTTATGTCTTTTTGTATTTATTGCATGTTATCACATTCTATGACAGATTGCTCTAAAAACGGTAAAAGATGAAGGTCAATACGTTTTTTTGCAGATTATAGCTTAATTGTAAAAATAATCATTTAAGACCACATGTACCCCAATTAAAATAATGTTAGTCTCTTTTTGATGTGGGACTTTTACATGTTTGTCTAAAAAATAGGGAATAAATAAAATTGAAAGGTGATATCCTCTTGAGCAAACCCTGATGTTGATACGCTGAAGAAATACGTTCCAACATCCATTCTTCCCACTCCTATTTTGGACATCAATTTCTTATTTATTTTGCATAAACTATGTATAATTACATTACATAATAAAAAAAACATGAATCAAAACATTCATTCAGCATTAGCACGGCTGTCATGGCAATGTGAATGGAGACGGACAAACAACTGATAAAATAATTCCCTGTGTTTGCTGCTGGATTTGGTGTGAATCTGGCAACCTGAGTCAGGGAGAGTGGGAGAGGACTACAAAATATTGACTGTGACTGCAGTACCACTTTTGGCCAGATTTTTACATATTGCTCCTTTAATTCACTCCTAAATGAGCCTGCAGTCGGATTACATAAACATTTTAATTGACTATAAAAATCTATTTTTACACAGCCAGTTTTCATTTGGTATCCATTCGAAGGCCTTTTTGGTATGAATAGCCATCTATCCTTGCATAAAAGCATAAAGGAATAATATGAAAAGATATTGAGATGATCACCTCGTTGAGATGAATACATTGCTGCTTTAAAGCCAGTAAACTATGGTGGTTCTAAAGCTTTTATACTAAAAAGGTCAGACAGTGTTGCTTTAATGATACAACAAAAAGAAAGAAACTTTTAGTGAGTGTGACCCTGGCGGCTCACGGTGCTTGGGGAATGGTTAAAGGCCTTACTTCTCTGGGTTGTCCGGAAACTTAATCCTCAGCTCCTGGTTTTTGTAGGACCTCTTCTCAAAGGTCAGAATCATTTTCTTCACTGAACTCTCGTCCACTGGCTCGGCCTGTGAGGTAAAGACACAGTTTAAGATAAAAATACATCATACATCTTTTACAAACTCTACAATATGCCAATGTCACCAGACGTGTATACTCAATTGTGTGTGGAAATGTGACATAACATTCCAAAAATTTTGATGATGACACATTCAGACATTATATGAGTCTGTGGATCTAATCCCCATCAAATACTGATCTAGGAAAACCTATGGACATTTTCTTTTTCAATGTAATCTAATTCTACAACATGAACACTAATAGGTTGTGTTAATGTTTTTGTACATTTTAGGGAACGTGCCAATGTGCCAATGTTGTTTAACAAAACAACATTGGCATTGGTGATGTCCTAATCTACATTGAGCTGTTACATCTACATTAGATGCCTAAAGTGCATGTTTTTTAGAATGATTAGAATGATTGATGATTTGGTGATAAGGATGCTGTAACAGGCCTATACATGCATTGAGAGTTCCGAGCTTCCGGCTCGACCGCACGGCATTGTGGGTAGTTTTCTCAAAAAGGTGGGCATCAAATTTAACCGTGAATGACTATGCAATTATCATTTAGGTAATGTTACCTATTTAAATTATTTTCTATTTATAATCAATAACTATGCAATCCCAATACTACTACAAGCATAGCAAAGAATTCAAAATAATAAAACTTGCATAACTTAATGTAGCATTTCTGAAATTGCATACTCTTAAGTCTTCTATATTTTGTTTTCCATGAAAGAACTGTTAAAGGACTAAGATAAACAAGTGAACTCAAATGGCAAAAAAACTCATAAAAGCCACATCATAGCCAGTCTAACAGCTTCAGCAGCACCGAGCAGTGGGTTTGACCTCCCATCAGGCTAAAAGCCTGAGGAGAGTGGGACAGATAATGGCAGGTTAGAGAATGACATTATAGAATGGTGCAGCACTTGGCGAGGAGTGGCTCTTGACACTTAAAGGGTAGTAGGTTATACGCTGATGTACTACAGACTTTATATTGATTGTTGACCAACCAAACAATGATATCAAAGACAAGTTAGTGAACAAAATGAGATAATAATCACCAAACATAGACATGTCCAGCCGTTTGTTCATCATATTGCGTTGTGTTGTATATCCAATCATATGACTCAAACAATCAAGACTGCGTTAAGAAGCCAGGCTCACACTCTCATAATAATCAGGTGTGGTTATCTCTAGAGATGCACCGATCCAGCTTTTTTACTACCGATACCGATACCAGAGCTATGGGTTTCTGCCGATACCGATATTGACCGATACCGGAAATGATCATGCTAAAATGTATTTAATAATTGAACTCTTTGTCCGTTAGCATAGACAGCTGAGTTAGCACAACAAGTCGAGGAGCTAACCTGAAACTTCCTCGTCTTCATCACCGGTTACTGCTTACACAACGAAACATCCATCCAAAAGAAAGTCCTGTTCCTCTGCGCTTCCTGGTTCTATCGTTCTATGGTCACGCTATCCACGTGCAAATCCATATCCATGTATTATCCATATTGTGAGACGCTAGCTCCGTCAACAACAGTGGGTGCGCGGTAGTGGGGGGCGATAGCTTCGTGGGTGCGGGGAGGGGAGCAGAAAGAGAGAGGCCAGCGAGTCCACGGCTTCAAAATCCCAAAGTCAGTTAGTGCAGCTTTAAAGTAGCAATATGTAATATTTTCATGTCAAATCTTCAATAAATGGCCCCAATATTTCAAAAGGCGTTATTAAATTATGCTCTTTTCGAATATATCTTTAACTGATAACACTAGTAGTTCAGCCGAGATATTGGAATATCAAAATTTGTTTTACGACCCGTAAAAGTTGTTATTGTTTTGATTTGGATGTCCTACCCTCCGCCCTTTTGCCAGTCGGGAAGTCCGAGGTCCAGGTTGCCACAACTAAAAAATAACATGTGGCCGCAGAAATAAAAGAGGTCTTGTTAAGATTCTTAAATCATTAATGACAAAACAAAGACTAAAACAAGGTTTTATATCAGGACGCCTTTGAAAACTTGAGACAATTGAAGGTGGATACAAACTTTCCGTGATGCAGAACCATCATCTTCTTCCTGTGTCTATAATATTGCTAATTACATTTTTGGTTAACTGTTTAAAGTAGCAGTATGTAAAAAAAAAAAAAAAAAAAAAAGGGGGTCAAAAGTGGTACTGCAACCTCTACAACTCTCCCTGACTCAGGTTGCCAGGTATGCAGACAAATCCAGCTGGGACCACAACAAATGAATAACCAACACCTTTGTCACCTTACAAGTGACATTAACTCAACGCGGTATGTTCTAGCCGGCCGAATCACACACTTTCTGATTGGTAAAACGGTGGAGGACGTGAAAACTATAACAAGATTTAGGTTGCTATAACACTAATTTTAAAATTCCAACATCTCGGCTGAACTACTGTTATCAGTTAAAGAGCATGGCTTATTATTGCCTTTTGACATATTAGGGCCATTTAATGATGACTTGACATGAACATTTTACATATTGCTACTTTAAAATTAAAAAGTTACAAGCTGGGGGTGCCAAACTTTAAAAAACAATAATTACACAAGTTGACAGCCAAAAAATGGTCAGGTGTTTCTAAACTGATTTAGACTAATTTTGGTGTTCTGAGCCCGAATATCACATGCATTTTGCTCTATCAGGTCAACTTTTTGAGATACAGCCATAGTGTTACGGATTAAGTACGTCTACGTTATTATGAATTCTGCTTATCAAATTTGATGGAGTAAATAAAAACTGAATGACTTTGGATACGTTGACTTTTATTTCTTGATGAAAACGGAAAAAACGTCAAGGGTTTCTCAGCTGAAGATCCGCAGAAATTTGTTTTTTACGCAAAATCGATTTAAAAAGATATTTCTGTAGCAAAAAATCCTGACCTGATTGAGCAAAACCAAGGTTATTTTCGGACTCAGAGCATCAAAATTAGTTATTCAGCTGGAACTATTTTCAAAAAATATTTTTTTGTTACCCGGTGTAATCATAGAATTCTCAATTTGTCCTCTTTCTTTACAAAACATTCAAAAAATCAGGCACTTTACAAATTAGCCAAGTTTATCGAATCCAAACTAGTTCCATTGTTGAGCGTCATTCATTTGTCAATCACATGGCTCTTTCTTAGAGGTATGCATGAGATATTCTCTTATAGAAATGAATAATGTAGGGATTCAGGAGACATGGGAGATGGGAGATGCACTTGGACAGCACCCCTGCACCAAGCCGACAGCCTCCCATGGTTTCCTTTTTAATGCACCACTTTAGACAAATGTACGCAAACTGGTATACAAATAAGAAGGGCAAACAGGGGCAATGAGGGTGATGGGTGGACGCACACATTTGCAAAAAAAGGAGGTTGCACCCATACACACACCGACATGTAAATATCCACACTGTTGTCTGTCTTGTTGTATTTGTCTGTACATCTGCACTTGTATTGTATGTCTATATTTTCATAATTCAAATAAAATAAAATGAATGATATTAATGTTTGATTTATTAACAACAAATTTGACTTTCACGACACTGAAAGTAAAATGTGTCGTGACTTTCAGTCAATGGGACAAAAAGATGCAATTACTTTTGGTTAAATATTCTTAAACATGCTACCTCCGTGTGCCAACACTCTGGTGAGCATACGGTAAAAGACCAGGGCAGACAAGGCCTTCTATGTGGCCTTTAAATATCTAGTTTTTACTTTTTTTGTATCGTTTTTTGTATTGATTTAGAACTTAGTAAAGCTCTGTACTTTTGTTGTTGGTTTGTCTATTGTTGTTTATTTTTAAGTTTACTTCAGTGCAGCACTCACCTCAGGATCATCTTCGTCCTGATCCATGAGTTTCTCCAAGATTCGGTTCCTGTGAGCACTGTTTTCCTCCGACTCCTCCTCAGGCTCCAGCTGTTCTCTGTGTCTGTGCAGCTCTCTACTCAGGGTCTTTTGGTGCTTGATTTTGATGTCATCTCCTGAAGCTCCATCCTTGTTCCTTGGACGTTTTGCTCCTCTGTCCGGCTGCATCAAAGTTAGTTATATCAAATTTAAAACCATATCTTCATTGATGATTCATATGGTGTTCATCAACTTCAAAATGTATTTATTTAATCAATAGAAAAATCACCAACCTCGAGAAGCTGTACTAATGACCCCCTAACAGCATTGTATTAATACGTCAATTATTACATTAAAGTAGCAATAGTAGTAAGTAAAGCATGTTCTCACTGTGTCTGGGTAAGTTTACTCTGGGTGCTCTATTTTCCCTTACTACTAAAATACATGTACAATAGGCCTGAATGCAATGAGAGTATGGATGGTGATGGCCAGGGGCTTCTGTGAATGGGAATTTCACCAAAAACTGTGACATACGCTATAGAAATAAAAATCACTACCACATAATATTAAAGTGAAACGTTAGATTACATCCCAGGGACTAAGCATACATCAAAAAGACTAAGCATACATCAAAAAGACTAAGCATGTACACATCATGCATTATGTATAATAGGAGTAGCTAATTTGTTCTAATGTTGGCACAATAGTAAGATCGTAGACCAATTTTGGTGTTATATTCATTATGTAATCAACAGTTGAACCTCTCTGTAGTCCGAACACACGTTAACGTGGACGTACTGGTTCTAGAATTTGTTTCATGGACAAACTTAGTCTGTTTGATTTTAATATTACGCATGGTAATTTAACAGAAAATGATACTATAATGAAAGGTCTCTCTTGTGTTACAGGTGAATGAGATTCTGATAAATGATAATACCACAAGGATCGGTTTAAAACCATGCGCTTATTCATAAAATAAACAAGTCTGTCAGGCAGCAGCAGCAACTAGATTAACTCTAGATCAGGGGTGCTCAATACGTCGATCGCGATCTACCAGTCGATCGCAAAGGTAGTATTGGTAGATCGCATTAAATAAATAAAAAATTACACATTCTAAACTAATATATACAAAAAACTCCGGGCAAAGTGGAGATTTTTGAAAACTCCGTTAATGCATTTGTGTGTAGACAGAGATAATCGGAGTTTTGCGTTCTCGCACGCCAAAGTACCCCCTAAATTCCTCTGATCACTGAAGCATGGATCATACTACCTTAAAAACTGTTCGCTGTGAGATGCTCGCAGCAGCGAACATCCTCCACATCAGAGAGCAGCAAAGTGATCGCGGGGATTCACGCTCGAAAACAACTAAACCAGGACTAAACCAGGACTAAACCAGGACTAAACCAGGGCTGAGGACGGGGTCAGTGCTTGTAAACATACGTCTTTACTCTGAGTGTCTTCTATGACTGTAAAAGTGCCGTTACCGGCGTCTGCATCAAAGCTCCGCCCACTTCTGTGTTTTTCCCCAACGCAGGACAGGACGTAAGACACGCACATGTTTGGAATGTTACGAATGTGATTGATAACGCAGATGTGTGGATGCAAATTATTTTATAAACGGAGGAGGGGAAATATTTGGATTTAAATAAACCAGGCATGGCACATGGACATGGCACCACAGTCAAATGACATCTGTGTTTTACTCAGTAATGTTTTACTGACACTTAGGTGACTGCACATGCGCAAACAACCGCGCTCAGTGCAGGAAAGCTCAACCACGACAAACTTGTCAGCGAGTTACCACCAATTTTCCGGACTATGCATCCCTGGCCGATTCAATTCAGTGCAAGTCATAAGAGTAAACTCGGGTAATGACAAAAAATGTACATAGATAATTGTGTTGTGTTGTGCTATATTGGCTCATGCGGTTTTGCATGTACATAAACATATATTGTAGGTATAAAGAATATTTTTTGAAATAAATATATGATTTGCATTTTTGTAGTAGGTAGATCATTTTGACTTGATCCTTTTATAAGTAGCTCGCATGCTGAAAAAGTGTGAGCACCCCTGCTCTAGATGATACATATGAGACACACTAAAAGGCGTAAAATGACAAACTTTGATCGTGAATTCTATATTTAAAAGGCACTTACCTGATAATTTAATAATTCCCCAACATCCATTGTGTAAGGAAGTCGATCCTACAATGCTAAAAAGTGTTCAATAAGTGCGCGGGCTCTGAACTGTGCAGCGGTGGCTAGCAACAACTATCAACAAGCGTGCACATGCGTGCCGTAAAGCAGATTGCTTACTGTCGTAATGTCATGTCGCAGAGATATCAAAGCACCACTGCACCTTTTTTAGACCTATGCTTTTAGTCCAAGAGTAAAGGAAACTATTTGCCGCATCATTCTGGCTCATTGCTTTGTTGTATAGGTGTATGGTTGTTGCAGTGAGAAAAAGTATGAGTTCCACAAACCTGCTGGTCTTATATCCAAGGATATGTTCTTTGCTTCTATTTTTTTTATTATTATTATTTCCAAAAAGTAACAAATAAGCAATACACACACACCATGGAGAGACAAAATACATACAGACCATAGACTGTATGTGTTGCACACACGCCCAAGTCCACGAATGCATCACTACGAAAAACCTGCTACCTGAAGTACAGCTGACGAGTGAATAATCCCTGTACGACTGAGAGCTTACTTAAACAAATCACTACGCTTTACTCAATGAGACATCAAATAAGGAGGCTCCCAGGACTGTGGAAACCATCTTTTTGAAGGCTGTAATCCCCACCCTCTTCAAAATGTGATAAGTAGCCAACAATTGGACTTCCTCATAATTGCACTAGCAACCCTCACAGTCTGGCTGCACATGCACAGTTCGTTGATAGTGTAGGTGTCGGGTATGCTAAAAAAAAATTGAGCGCCCATATTCTGGAATAAAACCTAAACCATTTTTCAAGAATCAAGTTGAAAGTAGGTTTTGTTTTTTCTAATTCCTTGCTCTCAGAGTAACTTTACATATGCTTTAACGCCTTCAGAAAATAGTTGTACAGTGTTGTTTTAACAGTAAGTGCATGGATTAGAAGCCAGTTGTGACAGTTACAAGTTAAAGTTTGGACAGAGATCCATAGATTCCAGGGTGAATACTCAATTGCATTTGATTAATCATGATAATTACAACGTGTGTGATCCTGGATTTCTCCTACAGGGGATCAATATAGTATCTATCTATCTATGTAGATTATGGCCGACATGTGTTACAAAGTACTTGATATATTTTACCATATTTTACAATCCTGGTTAGATAAAAGTACACAAAAAGTGAATATGGCAAAACATTCAACAAACAACCAAGCTAATTTGTGTGACAAATGCAGAATTTACCTGACCTACCTTGCCTTTTTGAATTGGCCTCCAGCCTACTGATCCTCATTTACCAGAAATAATACGGTTATAATAATAAGCATTTGTATAAGTATTAGTAAAGTGATATACATGGTTGACACATGTTGGTCTAGTTTACGTTAACTGGACCACGTCTAGTTCCTTTTATCAAAATATCTTTATCCATTGGTGTAAAACCATCAAACTCTGTCCACTCTACAGTTCTTTTGAAGCAAAATATGTGACACATTATTTTCCAAAGTAAACTAGACTTGTGAATCAGAAATTAATCAGACCAACAAGTGTGAATGCAATAGTCTATTTTCCAGGTTTGATAAAAAGTGGACATTCAGATTACTGTAATGTATCCTGGTAAAAGGGACTGAGCATGAGCATGTTAAAGTTCAGAGGAGTCAGAGTGTATAGCAGAACGTGTTGAGCATCTCGCTGCAGTCACTTAAAACAATAACTGGCTCAGAGTTGCTGTTTCTGTTCAGCTGCAGCGCTCCACAGTGACGGTTGGGCTCAGGACAAGACGGAAGATCTGGCAGGGTGAGATCTGCCCCATCAGACCAGAACCAGGACCCTCCAATGAAGCGCAGACCCAGCCACACCTAAGGAAAATCACAAACTTAATCACAAGTCGAGAACTGCTGCTTTATGGGGATCTCGTTGTGTGTGTGCGTCATGGGAGCGTGGGGAATATTATGATTATTATTATGTTAGGAAAAGATATATATTAAACACTCCACCACACAACTTGCATGAACCCTGTTTTTTTAGACAAAGGTTAAGGCAGCAGGGCTGTGTTAGCAGGAAAGCCCCAGTGAGAAACCCTGTATGTATTATATTTGATTAATAATAATATAATATAATTAATAATATATTAATAATATAATATAATACAAACTTATGAAGGGCTCTTGTTAGGCATTCAAAGACGATTAACAAAACAAACTTAAAGAAAGGCAGAGTGAAACAAGTGGGTTTTAGAATTTAAAAGTATATATTGAGTCTGAGTTTTTAATGGGTTGTCACAATGAGTTCCAGAGAGTGGGGACATCTGCGACAAAGGGTCGGTCCCCCAAGGTTGTGTCGGTGTGTCTGAAGCAACGGGTGGGACAGTGATGATGGTGAGGAGGGCTTTGTATTGGATGCGATATGGGACAGGGAGGCAGTGGATTTGTTTGAGGACAGGGGTGATGTGGTCTCTGACGGGCAGCACAGTTCTGGATGTACTTGTACTTTTTGCAGATGTGTGGAAGGGATTCGATGGAAGAGGCTTTTCCTGCAGTCGAGTCTGGAGGTAATGAAAGCATGAACGAGTGGAAGAGGCTTAGGAGGCTTAGGTGTGAAAACAATATTCTGGTGATGAGAATAATAATTTCACTGTGCTTTTTTTATTATGGTAAAATGTTTTAGATAGTGGATGGAATTGAACATGTAAAAGAGACTAGATTGATCCATCATGTCTCATTCTATCTAGACGTGGACTTGCCTTCTCTGTGGTGGCATTGCTGGCCGCATTCTGAAACGACTTGAGTTCTTGTGTGTTTCCACTGAGGAGGGAGTTGAAGCTGTTGTTATGAGACCTGCAGCGATGGAAGGACTGCTCCCAAGTGAGGAGCTCCTGGACCAGCAGCACATTGCTTTTAGCACACAGAGAGGGAAAGGCCTCGGAGCAGTTTTGATGTGAAAGGACTTTGTCTTTAGACCAAACAAGTCCACAGTCACCTGATCCTGAAAGTGTCATAATAACCAATTAGAACTTGTTCCAAATGCCTTAAAGGTAAAAATATATTGTACATTGAAAACCACTCACCATGGTGGTACTGTCCAATCCAAACAGGAAAGTTTCTCTGGACATAAAATGGTGAATATACCCAATGCAGATCATTATGCCGAATTGTTATGAATCTATAGTTTTGTTCCACACAATATGCCTTTGCTTCTTCCCATGTTTTGGTTTGGGGAACAAATATATATGACCATACACCATAAGGTAAGGTTTCACGACAGAAGAAGAAGTGGCGATTTGTGCAGTCATCATCAGATGGTCTAAGGAGATCACAGTTGCATTAGAAACATACATTTTATGACAATTACCTCCAATTGAACTTGAAACCGTTTTTAACTGATATGAAATGAACGTCTTTTATTAGTATACAAGTATACCTGCTGTTTTCTTTTACTCAAAAACGATAAATGCCAGATATATGGAGAAAAAAGAGGAAAAGATCCAAGGCACTCTACTTTTAAATTAATAATAACATATTCCTATATACGATGATATATACATGATGTCTCATGTATGTCCTACTTCTTTTTAAATCCCTGAACTATCATAATAACGCTATTGATAAATATTATTATAATTAAAATAAGACTTACGTTGGTGTTTCATAGAAGGCCTGCCCGCACGGTTGGCCGCCATTTGGTGGGTCAAAATTGTCCTGAATATCCTGAAGCACATCATGGCCACTGTCCCAGTACCAATTAGAACCATTTTTTCTGAGCCCGATCCATGCGTAGAAATGTTTCAAGTTCATCTGATTCACTTCATCCGACATCACAGCTAGCTGTTGATCTTCCCTAGGATAATGCAGATATGTAAATATATTCACAACTCTGCTTTCTGGCCCTGTCACCTGATCATGTCATTCCAGTGATGATCCTGCAATGCCACTACAGCAGGTATGTCAAAGTCAATACATCACAAAAATGTATTTGCTACAAGCCGAGGGCCAGAACTGGTTTAATGTTTATCAAAACATGCATACTACTGTATTTGTCCACCCACAGCGATGTAGCCAATCATTTCCAATATTACATGTGAGTGACTGATCCTTTAAACTAAATGATCGAGGCGTGGAAATTGATCTTCAATCAAATGCAAAGTCTGATTAAATTATCAATCCCTCCCCCTGTACATAAATTTTTCTAATCAGCTGATTGGTATTGAACATGCAGAAATCATTTACCTTTTACAACTTTCTTGTGCATCCATCCATGTTCTGGGGAAAGGTTTATACCATAGATACTGGTGGAAGACGATAGACTGCGCTGGTCCAGAGCCAAGCCACAAGAGAAATATGATCTTCATAGCAGGACAATTAGGATCCATACTGTAAGAGTCATATTAGTCAAGTCATTTTAGCTCTAAAGTCTTATCAGAGCGGAGAAAGGGCAGCACTCAAAGGGGGTAATTTTCAAAACCCCCTACACTTCATAACTTAACTTTTGATGGTTTTAAATTGTGGGACATGAGAAGACCATACACCATAAGTACCACACAAATCAGTCTGATTGGATGAGGGCTGTAGTGCAGGGCATCCTGGGTAACTCCAGACACCCTCTGCATGACTCAATGGTCGCTCAGAGGAGTAACCGAAGCAACAGGCTTTTGTCACTGCGCTGCAGAACGGAACGTTTTAAGAGAATCTTTGTTCCTTCGTCTGTCAGACTGTACAATAGACCTGGATGAGTTTTCTGCTGCTGGACCCCTGGATTTCTCCTACGGGGATCAAGAATCTGTCTATTAATGAAATACAAATCACACCAGGGCTATATGCAGCCTAAATCCCGGGTCCTGAAGGGACCTGCATCAGTTGTTCTTGTATTCGTACAACTGATGTCAGGCACAGTGGGTGCCACGCGCACAGGTTGAAGTTTGGTCAGAACTATACCTTTGCTGGATGATATTTCTGATGTGCATATTTTGAGACAATGAATTAAACATGTGCCACGGGAAACCCATGCAGCTACAAAGAGAAAAATGCACAGTCCACATTCAGATTGCAGCCGATACAATTTTTTTCATTACTACCCATTAACACTTCCATGTGGGCATGTAAAGAGAGTGTTTGGGCCTGTGTCTGTGGTGTGTTGTGTGTGTGTGTGTGTGTGTGTGTGTGTGTGTGTGTGTGTGTGTGTGTGTGTGTGTGTGTGTGTGTGTGTGTGTGTGTGTGTGTGTGTGTGTGTGTGTGTGTGTGTGTGTGTGTGTGTGTGTGTGTGTGTTTGTTGTCTTGTTTGTCTTGCCTCTGTGGTCATGTCATATATTGTTTCACTCTACTGTACAAGTTTACAGGTGTTTATGAATGTTCCTGTATGTATAGGTTCTTGTACTGTACTTTGTGTTGAATGTGTGAGGGGGTTTGGAATCCGATAAGCGTTTGCTTCATCCACCTCCTTCCCAACCATGCACTTGTTTATCTATCTGTTATGTTGATTTTTGATGATGCGATGATGATGATTGTGCAGGTTTGAAATAAATATTATCTATCTATCTAAATGTGGAGGAATTGAAGTACACTAGAAGAAGTTCACTTCTGAAACAAGCAAGTTTGAATGTGTTTGTGAGGAAGCTGGAGTGCCAAAAAGAGACGGCAGAACTCATAATAAAAAGTGTAAATGAAAGATTTTTTTTTTGATAAAGCAACAAACAGTCCTGTCCTTTGGGTGTGACTCCCCTGATGAGGTTCACCATGAGGAGGGTACAAAATGGCTGACAAGGACTCGCCTCTTCTCCTGGTTTGAAATAAATGAAGGACATGAAAGTGGCTTTTAAAGGGACAAAGTAACCTGCTTTGTGTGTTTAATGTTGTAAATTGCCCCAAGAGTAAATGACAAAGCTATTATTGCATGACTGTAACATGTGCAAGATTCTCTGTAAAACAAGATACTGTTTTAGTTTGCTTCAGAGTGAACATCAGGACCTCGAAAAAATGGAGACAAGAGTAAAACATGAAACATGGTTTCATTTCAAAAGAATACTGCACAGTTTCTGGAGTTTTCCTTGAAGAACAGTTTTATCCTGACTGCTTTTTAGCACTATTCACTCACTTTACCCAGTAACCTATTGTCACATCCCTACTGTGAAATGAGCAGAAATGGCCCCACACGGTGCAGGCCCATGTGATAGTGCCTTAAGAGATTTCATATTTGATTAATAAATGCAAAATGACATTTAGTTTCTAAAAATTGCAATGTGGTTTGGAGATTTGTCCAATGTCCAAATTATTTTGAGTCACCTTTTTTTCAAGAAATGAGCCAAAGAAACTGATTTTGACTTTGTCTTGAAAGACACCTCAACGTTGATAGTAGAAAGTTGTATTATCATTTTAATGAATATTTAATGCATTGTCTTTAAACTAACTGCGTTGTCAAAAGTTCACTGTGAATGCATGTTAACAGGTCAATGGGTTACGAAGTTGTGAAGTGATTTTTGGGTTGTCAGCGTGAGATGAGACTGGAAACCTTTTTAGGCTGTTGTATCTTCTCATCAGCAGAAGATGGGGTTTCCTGCACAAACCAGTATAATGTTGGAGAAGGAATGCACTCTGAGTTATGTATTAAAGAAAGAGTTTAATGACATAATCAGAATACATCAAGTCCAATTCAGGCTTAGTGCTTTCAGCCTGGGTCAGCTCCGAGAATGAGGATGGCATGACTGACCCCGCACAAACTGCGGACTCGTATTTTATAGATTGTTGAAGAAGTCATAAGACACAGTCACAAGATTCAGTAAAAGCAAACCATGCATTAAGGACAGCCATGTACATTGTCCTAACATTAGTGCTGCTCACATGTCTGCCTCATGACTGGTCAGCTGCTTCTACTGTACTATTATGTCTGACCATAGATACAAGCTTAAGTAAGACGGGAGGCACTTGTAGCGTTTAGACTCTTGCTTTATTCTATACATCCGGGAGTGTCCTTCCTTAATATGTGTCCCACCAGGTATCTACCATACACATTGGTTCCTATGTACACACCCACAGTACATCTCCCCCTTTTAGCTTAGTGTCCATATTTTCTTTGTCTTAACATAGCATCTTACTCTTAAACAGTTTCAGCTTCTGAATTACTTATTAATAAACATATTGAACAGTCGTACTGTAATCAACTTTTTAAGTGCATTTACAACAGCATTCTTCTTCCTTCTCTTTATTTTTTTTTTTTTTTTTAGAACATTCTTTTGTTAATAATACAGTGTAACCGTCTGTACTCAACCTTTTAACAAACATTGACACTGAAATCGTCTAGGGGTCAGGAAAGACAACCTGGGTCCCCAAGCTGTGCAGGGATTATTCTGCCCTGTAGGTCACAGCTTCCTACTATAGGAGTGGTGATCATATGTTGAGTCTCTGCGGGGTGTGAACAACCCGCCCCAACCTGGTGACTGTGGTGCCCTCAGGAATCACTGTGATGTGAGATCTGTTTCTCCTGAGACGTCCCGTCGGCAGGTCGATGTTGTAGGACCGTGGGGTGTTGGCTGGGCTGCTGATAATCCCCGAGCTGTTGGTGTTTTTCACCCAGACCCTCTGTCCTGGTCTGAGCTCTAGTTTCATTTGAGTTTTGTGTCTCTTGTTGAACCAGGAAGCTTGTTTTTGTTTCAGGTCCTGGTCTTTTCTTCGGAACAATACAAGGTTTGGCCATCTTGGTTGAAGTTTCTCCTCACTGACTGGTAAGGGCGTCCTGATGTTACGACCCATCAGCAACTGTGCAGGTGAGGAGCCGTGTGCCAAGGGTGTGGCTCTGTATGCCATGAGAGCTTTGTGTGGATCCTCCCCCTTATTCAGGAGAGTCTTCACCGTTCTCACAGCCCTCTCTGCTTCCCCGTTACTTTGAGGATAGTGAGGGCTCGAAGTTACATGTTTGAAATCATAGTCCCTTGCGAAGGCTGCAAACTCAGCTGCTGAAAACTGGGGGCCATTATCTGTGACGAGGATTTCTGGGACCCCATACCTGGCAAAAATGGCCTTCAACTTGTTGATCACTGGAACGGCAGTAGTACAGGTAAGGTTTGCAACTTCAATATACCGGGAAAAGTAATCCACCACCACCAGGTAAATGGCACGATTCCACTGGAAGAGATCTGCTGCAACACGCTGCCATGGCCTAGTAGGAAGTTGTGTCGTCATGAGAGGCTCCGGTGTATTGTGAACCGCCTTTGCGCAGTTTTCAACTTTGAGTTTGATTTGTTTGGTCAAACCAGGCCACCATATGGACTGTTGGGCTCTGGCAATGCATTTCGTCATGCCCTGGTGACCTTCATGTACCATATTGAGCATTTCCTCCTGCATGTGGGCTGGGATGACAAGTCTTTCACTTTTCATCAATAGTCCGTCTACCACCAGCAGGTCTTGGTGGTACTGCCAATACACTTGAAGTTCTGGTGGGAGAGCTTTCCTGCTCGTGGGCCACCCTGTTTGTACCAAATCTTTCAGTTTTTTACACGTACAGTCCATTTCCTGTGCCTGTCTAATTTGTCCAAGTTTGCTTTCAGATTCTGGTAGCTGTTGCAAAATCTGGTTAATGGACACAGACACATCATCTTCCAGCTGCTTGTCCTGCATTGTGAGAGCCGCTTGGATTGGCGCTCTGGACAGTGCATCCGCAGTGATTAAGTTCTTTCCTGGGACATGTTCTATTTTGTACGTGAAGCGAAGTAGTCGTAATCTAAACCGTAGAATACGAGGTGGCAAATCGTCGAGAGCTCTGCTGCCTAGTAGGGAAATGAGAGGCTTATGATCAGTTTGGATCAAAAAGTCCATTCCTACCAGGTACGTCTGAAACCGTTCACATGCCCAGGTCAGAGCGAGTGCCTCTTTTTCGATTTGGGCATATCTGCGCTCTGCGTTTGTCATGCTGCGTGAAATGAAAGCCACCGGACGCCATTCGCCTATTGGTTGCTTTTGCGACAGGACCCCACCCAATCCAAAGGAGGAAGCGTCTGCCGCAACTTTTGTCTCTCTATTCAGACAATACTGGGCGAGGACTGTGGGCGAGCTCAGTTCCTTTCGTAGCTCATCAAAGGCACGCTGCTGTGCGGTCCCCCATTCCCAGGTGGTGTCCGCTTTGAGGAGCTCTCTTAGTGGCTGTGTGAGTTCAGCTATACGTGGGGAAAACTTTCCAACATAGTTTACCATGCCCACAAACCTTTTCACGTCTGCAGCATCCTTAGGTGTAGGCATTCCGTGATCGCTTTGATTTTGCCTGGGTCTGCTTCAATGCCCTGTGACGTGACAATGTGACCAAGAAACATGACCTTTACCACAGCAAACTGACACTTGTCGTTGTTGAGAGTCAGTCCTTCCTGCTGGAGCCGCTCCAACACTCTGTGCAGTCTTTGGTCGTGCTGTTCTCGAGTGGACCCAAAAACCAGAATGTCGTCTGCGTGGCACACAGTTCCCTCAAGCCCTGACAGCATTTGGGTTAGTCTCTTTTGGAAGTGTTCAGGTGCGGACGAGATTCCGAACGGCAACCTTTTGTAGCAGTATCTTCCAAACGGGGTGATAAATGTGGTCAGAGGGACTGACTCTGGGTGTAGAGGTACCTGCCAAAATCCAGCTGTAGCATCCAGTTTAGTGAAGACTGTTGCACCTGCAAACTTAGCCAAAGTTTCATCTACAGCAGGCAGTATGTGGCGCTCTCTAGAAACATACTCATTTAGGTGAGTCATGTCAGAGCAGATTCTGACCTTTTCATTGGGCTTAGGGGCCACCACCATTCCAGCACACCACTCTGTTGGTTCCTCAATAGCCTCAATTACCCCCATCTTCTCCATCCTTTCGAGCTCTACCTTCACTTTGTCATACAAAGGCAGTGGGACTCGTCTTGGCAGCGACAATGCATAGGGTTTGGCACCTTCTTTCAGTTTCACTTTGTACGCCCCTTTTAAAAGGCCCAGCCCTGTGAAGACTTTGGGGTACAGCTGTTTTATGTCAGCCTCAAACTCTGTAACACTGTCTACGGGGTGCAGCAGGCCCAAAGCTGAAATGGCTGGGAAACCTAGCAAAGGAGTAGACAGTCTCTGTATGACATACACTGGCTGCGTTGTCGTTTTGTCCTTGTATTTCATGACAGCATTAAACTGACCTCTTACTTTCAGGGCTTCTCCACTGGGACCACACAGGGGTTTCACTGCTCTGGTGAGTGGGCCGTGCAGGTCTTTTGAGTAGGTGGCCGCCGGTATCACGGTCACGTCAGCTCCTGTATCCAGTTTAAAAGTCATATTTTTGCCATTTACATCCAGTGTTTTTTTCCAGTTGTGGGGTTGTGCCCCTGCCGACACTGCTCCTAAAAACAGTGTGTTGTCCTCATCCTCCAGGACCACTCCAACTCTGCCTGATCTGCACACAGCTGCAAAATGTCCCTTTTTCCGACATTTTCTGCACTCTGCATCTCGTGCAGCACAGATGTTTTTGGAGTGTGCAGGTGATTTACCACAGCGCCCACAGTACTTGTATCCTTTTTGATTTTCATTTCGACTGTTTTTTTCAAATGGTTTTCGTGTTTGGTTTTCTTTGAAAGTTTTTTTTCTTAAACTTTAATAAATCCACGTTTGCTTCTTTCATGTCCTTGACATTTGTCTCTCTCACGACTGGTTGTTGTTTCTTTATCTCTTCATGCTGTCTTATTTGTTGCACTGCCTTTTCCAGTGTTAATCCACTATCCATCTGCAGCTTCTCTGACAGGCCCTGGTGCTGTATGCCCACCACTAGCCTATCTCTTATCATTTCGTCCTGCAGTGGTCCATACTGGCAGTTTTCTGCTAACTTATAGACTGCCGTGATGAAGGATTCAGCCGATTCCCCCGCTTCTTGGCATCGCTTGTTAAAACGTGCTCTCTCGTATATTACATTGTGTTTGCCGATAAAGTGCTTGTCGAAAGCTCCTTTTACACTGTTGTACTTCTTAAGCTCATCCTGACTCAACCCCAGCGTACTCAAAATATCATCTGCTTTATCGCCCATGGTGTACACAAGAGAGTTTACTTGATAGCTTTCATCCTTGCCATCCAGTCCCGCCGCCACACGAAACCTTTCGAAACGGCGGATCCAGTTGGGCCATGCAGAGTAGTCGCTGAAGTCATAGTTTTCAGGTGGGTTGATTGAAAATAGGGAATCCATCATTCTTGCGCTGTCCTCTGGACGTCTTTTTTTTTTTTCGCGCCGTTAGCTTATTTTCCCGAAGGTAGCTTCACTCGCGGCAAAACTGCTACTTCACACCGACGTAGTCTTCTGATCTCTGCCTGAGACGGGATTCTTGACTTCTGACACCATGTACTATTATGTCTGACCATAGATACAAGCTTAAGTAAGACGGGAGGCACTTGTAGCGTTTAGACTCTTGCTTTATTCTATACATCCGGGAGTGTCCTTCCTTAATATGTGTCCCACCAGGTATCTACCATACACATTGGTTCCTATGTACACACCCACAGTACATCTACCATTTTGGCCCAAATGTTCCCAACACATTTTGAAGATACATGCTGTATATGTAGAAGTTATAATAGCAGACACTACAAGGCTAAAATGTTTGAACTGTGTCAACAAATTAATGGTTTGGGCCATATGGAATCTTTGGAGTGACAATAATGTGACCGTGATGTAGGTGTGTTTTTGTCTAATAAATAGCCTGTAAACCGCAGGACTTCAGTGCACGCACGGTCACAGCACCAAGATCAGCGATGTGCCGTGACCATGCGTGTGCTCCTTGTGTTGCAAGTAAAAAATGTTCCTTGTCTGTTGTGTTGTCTTTGTCCAGGCACTGTAGGGTGATCTTTAACAGGTGTTAAAGATGAAACGTGATCATCATATCCACCAGTAGTTTTTTCAAGAAGTCAAATTCTCAGACAATGGCATAAACTAAGTCTTCTGTTCAAATGTAAAATAATTATTAGAATTTTTTTTTGTTTTTTTTTTGAGTTGCCATTTAACCAAGAGAAACAATTTGGTTTAGTCAAGTACATTCACCTCTTCATTACTCTGACATAACTCTAACGCAGATATGATACAAATGCTCATATTCAATGACATGGACATCATTTACTAATAATGACTCAAGCGTTAACTCTCTGAACTACACATTAAAGAGATTCCTTTTTTCAAAATAAAGGTGAATAATCATTGCTCACTATTTCTTTACTATAACAATATAGTTTTGTTGCAATAAATAAACAATCAAGGATTGAAACTCACCTGTGTGGTGTGGACAGTGATCTGGTCAGCAGTGCACAGTATTCAAAAATACTGTCAAAATTCACATTTGACTGTGAAAAGACGAGGGGAAAATTTTACTGAAAAGGGCAGGGCCTAAGTGCCTGAATGCATCCACATGCAAATGCTTCATTCTTCAACAACATCATTCAATTCAATTAAATTAACTTTATTAATCCGTGAGGAACTCCATGGGGCGACAGTAGCTCAGTTGGTAGAGCATTGGCCTTTGAGCCTGAAGGTCGTGGGTTCGAGCCCACCGTAAGACCTACTTCACGACTCCCACTGATGACTGCTGTTGTTGTGTCCTTAGGCAAGACACTTAACCCCACTTTGCCTGAAGCCCCCACTGAAAGATCTCAGCTCCTGTGGACTCACCACCTGCAGGAGGATCAGTGAGGGGCTGGTGCTCTGTGTACTGGGTGCAGCTCTGGCCACCCCCCGACCCAGAAATGGATTAAGGGGAAGAAAATGGATGGATGGATGGAATCCGTGAGGAACTTCATTTACAGACGGAGCACCGGTGGGGGTACACAGAAACACATGATCTAAGTATACACTATAAGAGCAGAAATGCAACATAAAATACATAAAACAGGTCAGCTGTTTAAAAGGCAAATTGAGGTGGGGAGAAAGCTTGATGTGGCCCTTTTTGTTTAAATGGGAGGGACCTGGGAGGGACCTGAATCCCTGATGGGAGACTTGTTACTGAGATCTGACATTAAACGTAGCAAGTTTCAAAGTTTCAGTATCAGCGGTTGCGGTCGGCTGATTCTTACACGGAACAAGAATTAGATTTTCCAGATTAGACTGATTAACTCCAGATGTTTTTCTGTAATGTATTCTTTGTGTTATCACTAAGGGAATGGCACAGGTGGCTTCATGACAGGGCCCCAGCCGGGTCTCTCCTCTAACTAGACTGCCAGTGGCTGCGAAGCAGAGACCCTGTGCATCCTAGTGTTTAGAGATAAGAGGGGAAGGGGAAGGCGGGGGAGATGGATGGAGAGGTGGGTGGCTTTTGGGTGTTGAACGAGGGGGGCAGGGAGGTGGAGGGGTTTTTGGTGATGGGTTAGGGCCGGGGTGGGCTGAGGCAGAGGTTTTGGGTGTTGAACGAGGGGGAAGTGGGGGTGGAATGGTCATGAGGTTAGGGGAGGGACTGGCTGAGGTGGTTTTTGCAGGTGAATTGGAAACCCTAGGTGGTTTTGGAGGTACATATGGGGAGTGGTTTAGAATGTTGGACAGGACTCTAGATCTAGCTAATATGGGTGTGAGAGGAATAGTCTTCATCGCCGATTTTATTAGCCCTGCAGAGTGTTCAGGTAGGTCTAACAGTGAAGGCGGGGATGAAAAACAAAGGGAAGTGTCCCCATTCTCTCCTGATTGAGTGGACGTGGCAGGGGGGACCCAAGACAGGTCCATGGGAGGTGACGAGGGAGCCTTTGATGGAGGGGCAGGTGGTTGAGGAAACCCCATCACAGGCCTGTCTGCTGTAGCCTGGGGTGAGGATGGGGGCTTCAGAGGCGCTGTAGATGAAGAAGGCGTGACTGCTTCGGAGCAGGCTGGGGATGAGGATGTTGCAGAGATGCACACAAGTCTCTGACCCGCAAGTCCAAGTCAAGTCCAAGTCCCTAGCCCAGGAGTCCATGTCAAGTCCAAGTCTCTGGACCCGCAAGTCCAAGTCAAGTCCAAGTCCCTGCATGTCCAAGTCTCATTTCCTACGCATTAAAATTATGGCCAATACCATTTAAAATGGACTAAAATATATGAATTAATTTTACTGCACTGCTACAAAAAACGTTTATTTATACGGTATGCAGGAGCACGTACTGTAGAGGTGCAACTGTCTACGTTACAGAGTTACAAACATGTGACTACAGTGAGGCACAGACCAAAACTATTGTTTGTTACAGGATGACAATGAGACATTTAAAAAAAAGTCTGAAATACCTAATATCAGCCAATGGCTGTCATTAAATCTGTTTGTTTGTTCACAGCATTTCACTGTTGGCACAACCAACATGAGCTGTTAATGCGAGGGAAAATTTACGTACCCCAGCTTTAATTTGAATGACATCGTGTGTCAGGCTTGAACTCTCTGACCCGGCTTGGATTTGCCCCTGTGTACGGAGGTCTGAGGGCGCCGCAATTCGGATTAATTGGATTTAATATCTGCCTGCTTTTGACTGCTACATTGCATACAATATTGTCCCCTCAGGCGATGTGTTTTTCTCCTGCTGTGTCTTCTCTCCACTCTTATCTCACATTCCTCGGCCAAGGCCATAATAACAAGGTCCCCATCTACAACAATCTCACACTATTTCAGTCCAGCAAGGATCCCGTTCCCCCGCCTCCCTCTACCTATCCATCTTGCTCCCTCCCTCCCCTCCACTCCTCATTGTGTTTCCGACTCACCCCCTCCCTGATCCCCCCTCTGACAGCCACATTGGGCCGGCAGTCGGAGGTGCTCATCCCGAGAAAAAAACCCGTGGTTTATACAAAGCACAATGTGTCTATCCAACTGTCTGTGAAACTGTGTGTTATTGCTCTCTGCTGTTTATTCTACTGTTTGTCGCATGGCGCCGTAAAGATGGCGCCGTGGCAAGAGCTCTGGTGTGTGTCGTCTTCTCTGTCTGGTGCACACCGGGGTAGTCTTGCACAGTTTTTCCTATGTGGTTTTACTGCAAATGGCAAATAAATGAATCTGAATCTGAATCTAATTTCACGAGTTTAGGAGGAGACACGGGAGACATGGAAACGTCAGGAGGCTCTATCATCCAGCTCTGTGTATTGGAGAGGTGTATAAAGACACGCACATAACAAGCAGAGAATGGTCCTACTGTATGCGCACGTGTATGGTCCTATATGCACGTGCATGGTCCTGGGAACATTATACCCTGCTGCGCGCTGCCGTTGACAGAGCGGCTCACAGCTCAGACACAACTGATGCACAAAGTGATGAGCCAACGCGTGCATTCCCGCACAGTCAAGACCCGCGATCGCGGCCGAAGAG